GGTGGGGGGGAAGGACTACATGCACCACTTTAGCGTTGTTGATGCTGTCAGCCACATCGCCATGTAAACCACCCATGCCACAGCCAGCGCCGCATCGTGCCTCGGCTTGATCCGACCTGTTGCGCCGCAGCTTGATCTGATCCGGCGCGATCAGCCGCGGCTCAACCCCTCGCACCGCAGGTGGACGTCGTCCCGGGCAACCTGCCCTCCAGCCTGGTGCCGCTTTCCACATGGTTCATGCCGGGGCAGCCCGCCTCCTGGATCGCCGCCGCCGCCGCCGTGCTGCGGTCCGCGGCGGCCAGCGCAGGCGGCGCTGGGGAGGGGGCCGCACAGGGTGAGGGAGAGGAGCCCGTGATCTCCTTGGATGATGTCCCGCCCGACGCGGGGCGCGCCGGCGTCGCGCTGCCGGCGCTGCGCGTTGGCGTGACGGCGCGCGACGGCAGGCCGCTGCGGCGGCTGCCGCCGACGAGGCTGGAGGTGCGGCTGCTGAGGTGGCAGGAAGCGGAGGAGGAGCGGCAGCAGCAGCAGCAGCAGCAGCAGCAGCAGCGGCATGAAAGGCAGGCGGAGGGCTCCAGGTGGGTGCCCGTGGAGGAGTATCGGAAGACCCTCGCACCCATCCGCTCATTCGGGTCGCGCGCTAGCGGCGCCGCTGTCCCCGGCGGCGGCGACGAGGCGGGCCCCAGCAGTGGCGGCGGCGGTGGCGGCGGCGGCGGGGCGGACGCCGCGCGGCGCGGCGTCGTCCCGGCGTTCGAGGCGGCTGAAGGGGCGCTGCGGGTGCCGCCGCGGCCGGGGCGCTACAAATGGGTGCTGCACTACCCCGCAGAGGGCCTAGGTGAGCGGCCTGTGGACGGGGTGTACGGGTGCACCCTGCTGGGTGTGCCTGCGAAGCGAATCAAAGCCACATGCGGCGTAACTACAACTTTGTCGTCTGCAAGGGGGTCCTGTTTGCGAGTGAAGGCTCTGACAGGCACTCAGACTGAGCCGCTCTTCTCTCACAACTCCAAACGCGCGCGCCGGCGCCACCCCGCCGCCGCAGCCGTCCCGGACGTGGAGATGGGCCCCGTCCGCGTCGCCGCGGGCGGCCCGCGCCGCCTGCGCGTGGCGGGCGTGGAGGCGGGCGTTGAGCCGCAGCTCGAGTTCGTGGCGCGGCCCGAGCTGCGCAACCGCAGCTTCCCGGGGGCCGCGGTCTTTCTGGCAGACGCCTTTGGCAATCCGGCGCGCTTCGGCTGCCTCCCGCCCCAGCTGCTGCTGCGGGGCGGCGCGGCCGGCGGCAGGGCCGGCGGCGGGGCCGAGGGGGAGGGCGGCGGCGCCGGCGCCGGCGCCGCGGAGCGGCCAGCGAAGCGGGCGCGCAATGGGGTCGCAACGGCCTCGCCGGCGATCGGCGGCGGGGCCGACGTCGCATTTACTGACGGCCGGGGCTGGGAGCTCATAGTGCACCTGCGGCACCAGGCCCCGCCACCGGCGCCCGGCGACGCGGCGCCGCCGCGGCAGTCCGCGGACTGGGAGATCCTGCGGGCGCCGCTGGACGCGGCTGGGCGAGGCGCGGTGCCGCAGCTGCCGCTGGCGCGGCTACCGCTGGCGGAGTCGGGCGTGTATGTCATCGTGGGCCGCGCCCAGAGGCACCACCACCACCACCAGCAGCAGCAGCAGCAGCAGCAGCAGCAGCAGCGAGGAGGGGACGGTGATGGCGGCGGCGGCGGCGGCAGGAGCGGCGCTGAGGTGGTCGTGGTTGAGGCGGTGCTCGCTCAGTTCCAGATAGCCTCGGCCGACGCCGCGTCGCTGCTCAGCCAGCTCTCGCAGGCGCGCTCCGCACTGCGCCGCCTGCGCGACGGCGCCGTCACGCGGCGGCGCGACGCGGGGGGGCTGCAGGCAGAGGCGGCGCGTGCGGAGGGCGCCGCAGCGGCGGCGGAGGCGGAGGTGGCCGAATTGGAGCGCAGCTGGAACGCTCTGCAGGCGCAGTGCGCCGTGCTGCTGCAGTCAGTGGAGAACGCGGTCCAGCAGCGGGTGCAGCTCGGCCCGCAGGTGCGGTTGGTCGTGTGGCAGCAGGCTCTGCCGTACACGCGCCTGTGCACGCCAGACCAGGCTGCTGTGTTTGCCAAAATTGCACCCAACAGCCGCGCCCCACCTGCGCTTCCAAGCGCGCCCTGGCGGTGTGATACATGACGCAGCTGGATACGCACCGGCCAACCGATCAGTTGCGCCTTCCCCCTGCTCTTACCTCCCTAGCTCATCACACCGAAATGCGCCCCACGCTGCTCCCGCCGCCGCCGCCCTCCTCGCACAGCAGCCGTCCCCGCTGCTCCTCGTCCCGCGCAACGCCCCACACACGCTGCTGCCCGCCGCGCTCGCCGCTGCCCACCTCGCCGGCGGCGTCCTCGGCCGCGTGATCTGCCTCGGATCCGTCGAGCGCTCCGACGTCAACCGCACGATCTGCTCCATCCTCGGAGGGTCGGTGTACCGCATCGCGTGCGTCGGGGAGGCTGGGACCGCGCTCGCGCGGCGGCACTGGCCCGATGTCGGCCGCTGGGACCTTGCAAACCCCGACATGGCGACGTCCTTCACGTGCGCGCCGGCGGCGCCGGCCGCGCACCTGCAGCGGCCGCTGGCGCCGCCGCCGGACCTGGTTACGCTGTGCGACCAGGTGCTAGATCTGCACAACTACCAGCCGGGCGTCGGCTTTGTGGGGTTGGCGGCGAATCTCATCCACCTGACTCAGGAGCAGCTGGCTGTGACTGTCGACGTGGCAGCGGCCGCACACCCCGGTGGGCGAGGACGGAGGGGGTCGGGCACTCACGGGCTCGGGCGGAGTGCGCCAGAGGGTGGGGGCGGCGAGGCCCCGTGCGACGCACCGCGCGTGTCGGTGTATCGTTGAGAGCGCGCCCGTCAGCGCGGCGTGCAACAGCCGCGCCCTGTGCAGGCGTGCGCCTCATCATCGGGCGTCCGACGCGCAGGCGCGCGCCCGCCCCTGCCACGCCCCACCTCGCTGCCGCCCGGCCCCTCCCCACCCCCAGGGCGGCCCCACACCCTGCAGCGCCCCGCCAACGGCCAGCCCCTGGCGCGCCTGGGGCTGCGGCAGACGCTGTGGCACTACCTGCTCCGTAACTGCATGCTGTTTGAGACGTCCCAGCACATGACAGCGTTCAGGCAGGCGCTGCGGGCGCGCGGGAGGGGCGTGCCGCCTTGGCTGAAGCTCTACTCTCTGGATGGTGACAGCTACAATAAGATGATCGGCCTCGAGGAGGCGCAAGGCCGTGCGTACCAGGTGTGTGTGTGAGTGTGTGTGTGTGTGTGTGTGTGTGTGTGTGTGTGTGTGTGTGTGTGTGTGTGTGCCTGCACATGTGTGGGCGTGTGTAGCTTTGCTGGGAGCGTGATCGCGTTCGCGCTTGCTTGTCGAGGGGAATGTCGGGCGCATGCTTTGAGCCACCGCACAGCAAGCCCTCCTCCTCGCCACGCTCGCACGGAGCGTCACGAGGCATGCCAGTGGTGCTTTGATGAGCCCCCCCCCCACCCCTCCACGTAGTTGACGTGGCCTGTAACCCCTTCCCGGCCGCCTCCCTCCCCTGCCCGACAGGGACCCCTGTTCAGCGGCGTGCCGGCGGCCGCAAACGCGGCGGCGCCCCTCGACCTCCGCCTCAAGTACCTGCAGGTGCGTGTGTGGTGTGTGTATGTGTGTGCGTGCGTGTGCGTGTGTGTGTGCGTGCGCGCACTTGAGTGTGCGAGTGTGTGTGTATGTGTGTGTGTGTGTGTGTGTGTGCGTGTGTGTGTGTGTGTGTGTGTGTGTGCGTGTGTGTGTGCACGCGCGCGCGCGTCTAGGAACGAGAGATGTGGTGGGGCGGTGTGCCGCCCGAGGGGGTTGGGCGCCACGGGTGCTGAGCGCTGCGGAGCTAGGAGTCCCGCGGTCACAGGTTGACGCTGCACGCGGGCCGGCCTGCGTCAGGGCGCGCGTGTTTGCCCCCGCGCTTGGACGCCGCGACGCCTCTCGCCGCCTTGCGACCGCTCGATGCGCGACTCTCTAATCGCCTGAACCCTACCTCTTGTCGAACGTCTATATGACTGCAGGAGCTGTCGGACCGCGCCCATCAGCAGCATGGGGCCGCAGACCACAAGCGCCAAGAGGCCGCGCAGCGGCGAGCCGAGGCCGCCGCCGCGCGCGCCGCGGCGCAGGAGGCCGCGGCGCGGCTGGACGCGGCGCAGCGGGAGCTGGCGGAGGAGGAGGGCGGCCTGGCGCAGGCCGAGGGGCGGCTGGTGCGGGAGCTGGTGCAGCTGGGGGAGCAGCCGCCGCCGCAGCCGCCGCCGCCGGGGGAGGGGGGTGTCGATGGGCACGACGCCGGCGGCGGCGGCGGCGGCGGCCGGGGCGGCGGAAGCACGCCGCCGGCGATCACCAGGAGCGTGCAGGCGGCGGGGCGCGCTCGGTCGGCGGACCCGCGGCGGCGGCGGTGAGGGTTCCGCACGGTGGCGGCGTTGATGCTCAGGACCCGTTGCTGTCGCTGTCTTTGCTACGTTTGAAGGCACTCCTCACTTTTGTGCAGTTTAAAGCAGGGAATCCGTTCGGGAATCCTACTTTGTGACTGCAGTTTTGAGAGACCATTGCAGCCTAGTTTGTGGAGCTTCTGGCGTCGCGCAAGGTGCGGGTGTGGCAGAGCAGTGTGCCGCAGGCTGCAGAGCGGTGCCGCATTTCTTGGAGGGCCGGCTGCCGAGCAGCCGGTCCAGCAGCCGCTGCTTCTGCAACAATTCGCGCGCTCATGTTTTGGCGCGCCACTGCTGATGTGCCCCCGCTCGTCTCTCGTGTCTAGTGGATCTAGAGAATGTGGGGTGAGGCGCGATGTCCTGCGCTGGTGTAAGGACACCCGCTATGTCTGCACATGCATATCATAATTGGAGGTATTTCTATGCTATTGAAAAGCCTCAGAAATCTGGAAGGGCAGGTGTAGCAGTTTTGCCGCTTGCAGCCAGCAATGCAGGTCGCGCCTTGCTCTAGTTGCGGCGCCAAGAGGGGCTGGTCAAGGCGATGGTCAACCTCGGCTGCCCTGCGGCCCTCCCACGAAATGCTGGTCTCTTCTCAGCCGCAGTAACCTCATTCTGACACCACAGAACCCTGACCAGATGTTTTTGCCGACGATGCTGCGGTGTTTGTCTGCAACAAGCCTGCGTCACCGCTGACGCAAGCCTTCATCAGGTCACCTGAGTCACAGACTCTTGCCAAAGCACGCAGCGCGTCGACTTTAACAGGATGAGATTAACAATTACAAGTGAAACAAGTGGCAGTCCTCACGGCAAGAACATCCGTTTTGATCGGGACGGTGCAATGCAGGCCACGTTCGGATCGCGAACAGCTTCAGCGCGAGCTGCGAGGCATGCCGACAGCAACAGGGTAATGGTGCAGCGGAGAGCAGCGCAACACTCTCGAGCTCGTTGGGTGTGTGGCGTGCGTGCTGCAGCAGCGGCGCCATCCACAGCGCCCCAGCACACCACCCGCACCCAGCTGATGTTCGACAAGATGGACCAGTCTGGAGGACCCCAGGTGAGCCAGACGACTGAGGTTACCTTGGCAGCTTGCTGCACAGCAACCACATGAGATGAGAAGAGCTGTGCTTGGCACGTGCGCCCTTGGTCGCCTGCGTGCCGGCCGCCACCCACCTCGAACCGCCACATTCCACCCATGAAGGCTCCGCCTGCCGTTCTCCCCGACACGCAACCCACCCCACAAGGCCGGCGGCGCCGGCGGCCGCACGACCTATCAAGCCCTTCTAGCAGCCGACGCCGCCTGGAAAGCCATCCGCACTGCTGCCCCGGGCGCGGCAGGCCCTGCGCCCACCTTTGTCACCGAGTCCCCCGCCCCCCTCGGCGCGGCCGCCCTGCAAGGGGCCGACGCCTTTGATGCCGTCGTCTGCGGCGGCACCCTGGGAGTGTTCCTGGCGGCGGCGCTGGCGCGGCAGGGGTACAGGGTGGCCGTTGTGGAGCGGGCTGAGCTGCGGGGGCGGTCCCAGGAGTGGAACATCAGCCGGAAGGAGCTGGAGGAGCTGCGGGAGGTGAGTACTCATGCTGACTGTGTGAGGATGTCCTGTGTATGTGTACGAGTGTGCATGTGCGTGCGTGTGAAGTGAGGTCGGGTGGAGGTGGTGCGGGTGGAGGTGGTGCGGGTGGGTTGTCCTCCAGGCGTGGGAGTGTGGCAGAGATGGGAAGCTCTCACCACTTGTGCGTCTGGGCGCCGTGGAGGCTTGCGCCACACCAACAACGGGGCTGGTGGCGCGCTTGCGCCCCAGAAGGCATGCGGCTCTGCTGCTTACCCCTCGCGCCCCCAACCCATGGTGCACCCACCATGCGCACACGGCCTGCAGCTGGGGCTGCTGACGTCAGAGGAGATTGACGCCGCCATTGCCATCGAGTTCAACCCGGTGAGGTGCCGCGGCCCCGCACAGCCAGCCGCCACAGCCACTCGACGTTTTTTCTTGTATCAAGCCGGCGCGGCAGCGAGCCCCTGCTCAGTTTTCACGTGACTCATAGCAGCGCACAGCGCTCACACCCGTGGACCGCGTCCTATCCCTCACGCCGCGGCCGCCGGCAGGTGCGCGTCGGCTTCCACGGCTCTGCCGACGTGTGGACGCGCGACGTGCTGAACCTGGGGGTGCGGCCAGACACCCTGGTGCAGACGGTGCGCGGCCTGGCACGGGGCGAGGGGATGCGGCAGGCAGGGGGTTGCATCCTCGAGGGTGTATCGGGGAGAAGCCTCTTGGGGTACTTGGCTCAGCTGCGCGGCGGCGGGCGGTGACGCCTTACCACTAGCGGGAGGCAAAGCGGCAGTGGGAAAGGAGCGGGCGTTGCACCCCCCTTTCCGGTGTGCCACTGCTACTGTCATGCCGTCCCCTGGCCGACGGCTCTGCCTGTGTCGGCCACTCCCTCCCCATGCAAATCTGACCAGATGAGGGCCAAGCTGGAGGCGGCGGGCGGCGCGGTCCTGGACAGCACGCAGCTGTTGGGCTTGGAAGTGCACCCGGACGGCGTCGCGCTGCAGGTGTCTGGGCCGCCACCCGCCGCAAGCAGCGGGGACGGCAGCACCACCAGCAGCAACAGCAGCGGCGGCGGCGGCGGCGGCGGCAGCACTCGGAGGGTGGTGGCGCGGCTGGTGCTGGACTGTATGGGCCATCAGAGTCCCATCGTCCGCCAAATACGGTGCGTGGCAGCTTGAGCTGCCCTGGCAAAACTAGCATTTGCAGGTCTGGTTAGGCGTTCCACATGATTGGTTGGCTCAGGCAGGCAGGCCCCAGGCCTTGACCGCCTGGAGGGCTCCTGGCGCGGCGGCGCAGCGTAGCGGCCGGGCGGCCCTGATTATTCTCCTCCTGCACATCATCGCCAACAACCCCAGCGCGTTCACCTGTTTTATATGTTTGCGCCGCCCCCCGCCTCACACCCCGCTCCACCAGGTGGGGTGTGAAGCCAGACGGCATCTGCCTGGTCGTGGGCGGCTGCGCTAGCGGCTTCCCCCCGGAAGCCAACACCACCGCTGACATCATCTGCACCGCCTCCGACGCCGAGCCCCTGGCCTCCTGCGGCGGCCCGCCGCTGCAGCTGTTCTGGGAGGCGTTCCCTTCCTCTGACAGCCCCGACAGCCGCACGTGAGCAGGGCAGGGGTGACACGCAGGGAAGGGACACCCTGCCTGCGGCACTCGCGTGCTGGGCGCATCGTCTGCCTTGCATCGCCCATCTCCATATTCGACTCGATCTATCTCTGACCCACTGAATCGCCTTTTTGTGCTTCACAGCGAGCTCCCTGTCATGCCACTGAAGTTTCCCGTCGCGTTGCCTCACGTTCTGCTGGAATTCCCCTGGCCGCCCCCAAACCGTCCCAACCGCTGCCACCTCAGCACCTACATGTTCACGTACAGCGACGCCCAGCCCTTTCGCCCCAGCCTGGTGGACATGTTTGAGGAGTACTGGCGCCGGCTGCCTCAGTACCAGGGCCTGACGGAGGAAGCCGTGGAGCAGCTGCGCTTTAAGCGGCTGCTGTTCGCCTTCTTCCCCACCTACAAGAACTCGCCCCTGCCGCCGGCGTTTGACAGGTGCGGGGGTGGCTGCGGGGAGGGGTGCGCTTTGAACAGCCTCTCCGCAGTATGGGCATGACGAAACGGAGGGGTGTGCTGCGAAGGGTTGGCTGCGAGCAGCCTCCCCGCAGCCAGGTGCTGCGACAGGTGCCGCTCTCCTGCCGTGAGCGAGCTCGCTGCACCACGCCAGACGGCTCCCCGCTGCATCCGCCTGATTGCCACACTGTGGTGACTCGAACCAGCGCTCCAGCCTCGCTCAAGCGATGAAAATCATTCCCCCTTTGTCTGCCCTGCCCACGCTCGACGCCCCGGGCCGCGGTCCCCGCCCTCACACCAATCTGCAGGGTGCTGCAGGTGGGGGACGCGAGCGGCATCCAGAGCCCCCTCAGCTTCGGCGGCTTTGGCGCCCTCACGCGCCACGCACGGCGGCTGATTGGCGCCCTGGATGACGCCCTGGCCTGCGACGCGCTGTCAAGGTGATGCCACCGCCCGCGTGGGGTGGGGGGGTTGACGAGGGGCCGCGTGG